TGATGATGGTGATGATGATAATGATGGTGATGATTGGTGATGATAATGATGATATTGATGATGATGATGATGATGATGATAATAATGATGATGATGATTGATGATAATAATGATGGTGGTTATGATAATGATGATGATGGTGATGATTGGTGATGATGATGATAATGATGATGATGGTGATGATGTGTTTTAGGGAGGGTGATACGTGACAGTTGCCAACTCAGCACTGATAAACTTGTGGTCTTCTATGTTTAACGTCTCAAAATGAGACAGGACCGCCATTTTAGGTGTTCATCCGAACCACAGCGAAGGTCTAACCATTTGCAGATATATTTTAGAGCCAAGGCAGAACCTTTTACTCAGATATTTTACAGCCATTCTCAATCACACGCGACCTCTTGCGATTTTTTCTATCGCGACGAAGAAGGTTTTGGTGGACGTCAATCACAAGGCGTTTCCATTGATTGTCGGAAAACACAAAGCTATAAGGCACGTGCCTATAGAATGTAATGCAAACGCCTTGATTGACGTCCATGAAAAGCTACTTCGTCGCGAAAAAAACAATCGCTAGAGCGGCGCGTGTGATTGAGAATGGCTGTAAGACCCTGAGTGTGAGTCCGGCCACGGAGGCTTGAACCAACGACCTCCCGCACAACAGATCAATAGCCAATCAACTGAACTAACCGGGTGGCTAGATTTACTTTTCCTCACTTTTGATTAACTGTTCTTCATCAGATCACGACGACTGCTCTCCAAATCCGTGCAAGAATAATGGCACTTGTACCGACCAGGTCAATGGGTTCACTTGCGCATGCGCACCAGGATGGGAAGGAAATGACTGCAGCACAAGTAAGATAACTACATTGCAACTATGAAATATAACTGCGCTGTTGGCAGGATAATGTTTAATGTTACGGCATGTCGTACCGTGTTCGTGCTGTAAGTCAGTACCGTATGTTTCCCACTCATACGATAACCATTCTTATGGGAAGCCATGTTTCTCACTCATACGATAACCATTCTTATGGAAAGACATTTCAATGTTACGGCATGTCGTATCGTGTATGTGCTGTAAGTCAGTACCGTATGTTTCCCACCCATACGATAACCATTCTAATGGAAAGCCATTTCAATGTTACGGCATGTCGTATCGTGTACGTGCTGTAAGTCAGTACCGTATGTTTCTCACTCATACGATAACCATTCTTATGGAAAGCCATTTCAATGTTACGGCATGTTGTATCGTGTACGTGCTGTAAGTCAGTACCGTATGTTTCTCACTCATACAATAACCATTCTAATGGAAAGCCATGTTTCTAACTCATACGATAACCATTCTTATGGAAAGCCATGTTTCTCACTCATACAATAACCATTCTTATGGAAAGCCATGTTTCTCACTCATACAATAACCATTCTTATG